GGCCGGCTCCAGCTGCTCTGGCCCCTGAGCACAGGAGGCCCCGAGAGGCGCCCTTGTAGGGCCCCCCAGAGAGGCACCCTACAACCAGAGGCCCTCTACAACCAGGCTTGGCCCCAGGATTCAACCCAGGTGCTTCGTGGGCAAACGCCAGTGCTGGGTTGAGCGGGTTCGCGGGGGGAACACTGGAGGGCAAACCAGGCGCAGCGCCTGCCCTCGGACGCAGCGTGGATGGGAGAAGCCGATGGAGCCACAGCGCCCAAGGGCTTCGGGGTCCCTGGACCCTGGAGGAAAGCAAAAGCAGAACCTCTCGCCTGGAAACCGGGACACAGAACAGGTCAGCCCTCCTCCGGCAGGAAGGCAACAAGCTTAGAGCGAGAAGGCAGAGCTTCCTCATGGCAGCGAGGTCCCCTCAGGTCAGCAGGACTCTTCAGGTACTACCAAGTCCTGCACCCGGTGTCTGACTCAGTGGGTCAAGAGCTACCGGGGGCATCAGTGCGAAGCCTCCCAAGGGCCTCGAGAACCAGCCCGGCTGACCAGCCTCTACTCACAGGGTTCTGCTAGGGTGCCCAGAGGCGCCCGGCCAGAGGGGCCTGGGGCCTGGACCCAGTCTGTCCCGCTGCAGCCACCACTGTCCTGGCCCTGCCCCCACAGCTGGGGTGAGCTGGCTTCACTTCCAGGACCTCACAGCCTGGCACTGCCAAGGGCCTCTGTGCCAGACTGTATGGTCTTGCAGTGGGGGGCTGGAGTCACGTGCACCCCAGATCAAGGGGTGAGGGAATGCCACCCCATGCCTGTGGCTCTCCTGCCCCTCTTGCTAACGTCCACCATGGTCAGTTCTCGGTGTGCCACAGAACTGCACCGGGTCCCCGCTGCAAAACGATCACCACAATAAGCCAGCGTCCACCCAGAAGGCGGGCAACAGCCTGGGATGCGGTCAGCTCAACAGCGGCGGTTTTCCCACTTCATGTAGCCCCGACGCGGCTTAGGAGGCGCCGCGCCAGGGAAAGGGCTCGCCCCTGCGGGTTCCCAGACACTGCGAACGGGGTCGGCAGCAACTGGCTGGTCACTCACCGCTCCAGGCGACAACTGCAAAGCGCGCGGTGCGCGGTGCGCTCCCTCGGCCACGGAAACCGCCGGGCTCGCCGCCTCCCGCGGTGGGAAAGCTGCCGGGTCGCTGGCCTTCGCCACCTGGCTCCCGTCCTGCCCGTGGCCCGAGGCCTCTGCCCTCCGACACGCGGTCCTGCCGGAGGGAGATCGCTGTCCCCCTGAACGACCTCGCCTTCACGAAGCCCCACTTCCGAACGAGGGCCCCGGGGCTTGCCTGGCTCAGGACTGACACGTCTGCTGGGGGCCAGTCCAACACGCCACGCCCCAGTCCACGGGCCGGGTCTCGGCGGGGGGGGACACCGAGCTGCCCTCTTCCGCCTGGCCCACGGCGCCCACTGGCCGCTTCCCCGACGGGGCCTTTCCCGGAACACCAGAGGTGCCCCCCGCGGCCATTCGTGGGGGCTCCTCCTCGCGCAGGAGCAGGACCCTGGACGCGGCCGGAGGTCACCCAGGAGGGACGGGCCCCGCTGCGCTCGGGGCCCCGCGTCAGGCTCCCGGTTGAGTCGCGAGGCCAAGTCCGTCTCTGTCGCTGGGCACGTGGCAGGACGCGCGCCGCCAAGGTGAGGGCCGTCGGGAGCGAGGCCAGCGGGAGGTTCTGGGGTGACCAAGGGTCCCGGCGGGCG